CTTGTCGCGTTGTAGAAGAACGGCTCCTATACCAAGGCCGCTAGCGTCGGTATGGAGGATAGTCGGTGCGGCTTCGTCAAAGTGGCAGAGCAGAGGTTCAGACGTGAGTGCCCGCTTAACAGGTCGAATGCCGTTTGACATTCTTGAGACCACAGAAAGGGGACGTTGGACGCAAGTAGTTGGTGTAATGGAGCAGCAGTAGAAGTGAAGCTTTGGATAAACCGGCGAAAATAGGAGGCGAGGCCAAGGAAACTGCAAAGCTCCTTTGGTTTTTCGGGGCGCGGAAAGTGAAGGACTGCAGAAATCTTGTCAGGGTCGGGCCGGATGCCTTCTTTGCTAACGACGTGTTCTAAGACCTTGATTGATTTGCTAGCGAAAGAGCATTTCTTCGTGTTTATTTGAAGCCCGGCGCCGGCAAGGCACGTCAAAACTTGATCCAATCGTTCTAGGTGCTCAGGAAACGTTGACGAATATAATAATGTCGTCCAGGTAGCATAGGCAACTTTTTCATTTCAGGCCGGGCAGCACGGTATCTATCATGCGCTCAAAAGTCGCGGGTGCGTTGCAGAGCCCGAAAGGCATCACGTTGAATTCATATAGCCCGTCGGGGGTTGCGAATGCCGTTTTCTCCTTATCGTCTTCATGCATGGGGATCTGCCAGTACCCAGAACGCAAGTCGATGCTTGAAAAGAATTCCGCGCCATGTAGGGAATAAAGGGCGTCGTCAATGCGTGGCATAGGGTACACGTCCTTGCGTGTGATCTTATTGAGCGCCCGGTAGTTCACGCAAAACCGCACAGAGCCATCCTTTTTATGGACCAAAACAATAGGAGACGACCAAGGGCTAGATGAGGGACGGATGACTTCCCGTTTAAGCATGTCCGCAACGTTTTCTTCTATAATTTTTCTTTCAGTTAGAGACGCGCGGTAGGGTCGGCGGTGTACAATAGATGTCCCAACAGTTTGAATTCGATGTGCTGTAGTATTAGTGCGGCCCAGCTTAGACGAGCAAATATCGAAAGAATTTGCATGTTTCTGTAACAATGCGAGCAGCTGCTGCCTCTGTGAATATGTCAATTCGCTGCTGATAGTGGCGGTAAAGGCGGAGGAAGAAACATGCTCACCGAGACAAGGTTCTTTGGATGCAATGGCCTGAAGTGGCGTGACGAGTACAGGCTCGAAGTCAGCAACACGGGCCACAGTAGTGCCCTGTGGCAGTAAGATCTTCTCCGGTGTAGAGTTGACAGCGGTGACAAGTGCCGAGCCATTGCAAAAACGAACGACACTTGACGGAAGAACTATACCTTTGCGAACGCAAAGTGGTGACGGTGAGACCAATACATCCCCGTGATAGATGTCGTTGGACGTAATGCTGACAGTTTGCTCTTGTAGTGGCGGGAGTTCGATGTCTTTCGCAGCGACCAGACGAAGTGGCTTCTGGTTATCGTCGTCAAGCATGTAGTCGGTGTCAGCGAGGTGAACGACGCGTTGTCCACAACAAATCGCCGCAGAAGCAGATGATAGAAAATTCCACCCTAAAAATAGTTGGTGAGAGCAGCGGGACAGGACAGCAAACTGGACATGATGGCGGATGCCGTCGATGAGAACGCGCACAGTACAAAGCGCGGAAGGGCGAATGACGTTCCCCTGGGCAGCAACTAACGTGGGGCCATCGTAAGGCGTCATTACTTTCCTTAAATGTTCACACAAATCAGCACGTATCACAGACAATGTCGCACCTGTGTCCACCAAAGCATCGACTCGCACTCCTTCCACTTCCATAGAAACCATGTTACATGGGCCTAATGGAGGAATTTCAGTTCTAATTCCGAATGCAGTTTTTCCTCCACAAACTGCATCACTTAGTTTTCCAAATGAATATCAGAGGTGAATGAGGCGGGCCGAAGTGGAGAAGTGGAACGGCGGAAGGGCTGAAGGCGAGCGGCGTCTCGTGTTTCGGCTGTTTCGTGGTGCAGTCGATGCAGGAAAAGATGGAACCGGTGCGGGGGAGACGAATAACGCCGACCTTGATAAGACGCCCCGGTGTACAAATCCCGTTCACGCACATCGTTCCGACGCTCATCTTGCTGGCGCTTCCGGCAGAAAAGAGATATGTGGCCGTGATAGTCACAGTAGTAGCATACAGGGCGAGACAAGCGCAACGGTGGGGAATAGAAGGCATTCGGGGCACCTGGAGATAGCGCGGTCAGGTGGGCCGAAGGGTCAGGGGGCACGGAATAGTAGTTCACCGGTGTAGCGGCAGCAACTGACGCGTAGGACGGACGTGGCAATGTCGCATGGGCGTCGCTGGGAGGCACGGCAGCAACTTGAGGGTACGTGGCTATAGGGTGAGAAGCAGGTGGCTGTACGGGCGCAGAGCCAGTCAGGGATGTAAGTTCCTCCCTGATGATGTCACGTAAGGGCATTCCCGAAGGCTGTGTAGGTCGCGGTGTAGGAGGTGTGAAGCCCATGGACCACAATTCTTCGCGTATAATGTCACGGATGAGGTCATGCAGATGGCCATCTGACGTGGAGTGGTGGTCGCCGATGTCTGGTTGAAGGCGAACGGAGTCCAGCGCATCAAGGCGCTGGCATGTCGCCACGACATCAGCGATGGTAGCTGGGTTTTGCACAGCGAGGGCATTAAAGGCAACAGGCCCAATGCCTTTCAATATGTGGCGCACTTTGTCTGATTCTGGCATGGATTTATTGACACGCCGGCAGAGTGCGAGGACATCCTCGATGTATGAAGTATACGATTCACCGGGATGTTGTCGGCGAGTATCGAGTGTCCTCCTCGCGACGGCGGATCGAATGTCTGGTGTCCCAAAGACGTGCCGCAGCTGCTACTGGAAGGTAGCCCAGTCGGGTAAGTCAACGACGTGGTTAAAATACCATGTCTTCGCGACTCCGACCAGATAAAAAGGCACGTAACGCAGTTTGGCGGCCTCGTCCCACCTATTAGCGGCACTTACGCGGTCGTAGTCATCAAGCCAGTCTTCTACGTCTTCTCTCCGAAGACCAGCGAAGAGCGGGGGTTCCCGCTGATGTCCGTGTATGTAAGTAGGAGGGGCAGCTTGCGTCGGTGCGTGGTTGATGACATCAGCGCCGCTAGGCTTGGTCTGGGACATGCTGCCTGACTGTGGGCGCAAGCGGCGGCCTGAACGAAGCTCCAGGGGGTATAGCGGGCTGCGGGAGGTCAGAGGACCGAAAATCCACCTCCACCACGTATGAAGTCTTGGTAGTCTTGGCTGCGACAGCGTTTATTTGAGGAAAGACCTCGCAAAACGAACGGGCCGAGCCAGCACACAGACGATGACGATGATGATGACCCAGAGTGGCAATGAGGGCAAAGAGACAAGCGGATGATGGTGATTGTGATTATGCAGGAATGAGGACGATGAAAGTTACAAATGCCCACAATATATATATCATAGCGACGGCATCACCGACGGCAAAAATGCACAAATGAAACAGCAAATAAATGAAGCTTGTGGGCGCTCACCACACGAACACAAACAAAATTTTCAGAAGGACCAGTGCACGCTATCAAATCACCTTTTATGAATAAAAAAACACAACGTACGCTTCTTACAGCACTTCATGATTACTGCGCATCATGGGAGTGGCATAGTAAAGTTGTTTACATAAAAAATAATATACATGTCGCACTTTTATAGCTTGTTTAGGAAGTAAATTTAGTTGTCAATCACCAATACGGATGGGGGACTGACACCAATGTGTTCAAGTCTAGAGATGTACCATGCTTTCAAACCTCCATTAGTGTTTAATTAGGATGAACAAAGAAACATTACCCTCATTTCAAAAAGGATCACACTGACTTGAACAACGCCCACAATGTATTTCTATATGCGTTTCCGGCCTTCCCTTCAAATTGGTCACATGCTCTTTTCATCTAACATTCAAACATGAGCCAGTTGGAATGAAATAGCAGTGGGCACATTTGAATGGTATTTTATACACAACATTCCTTTCGCACTCAACCGCTCGCTGATTAAGACACTTGAAAATTTAGTACTGATATCATTACGCCTGTCTTCGTATATATTTGACTTGCTAAACAAGATGTTAACAGTTTTATTAACTTTTTTGGAAGGAATACAAAATGGCGTTCTGCTCATGCGCAGTCTTCATGAGGTGCTGCAACGAGTACGTATTGTCTTCTCTTAATAAATAAAGATCACTTGATAGTATGCGCTCGTGCTTGCGAACCTTTCGTTTGTGTCTTCATGTTTTGTGCACATAAGCTTCCTTATGAAGTCAAACAAACTAGCCTCTCTTTTCGTAATGTAGGAGTACTCAGTTGTAGGCAGCTCTATCACCGTTCCATTTTTTTCTATTTTGTTGAAGTACCCGTCGTTATGTTTCTCGCATGTGTCAAAGCTCAGTTTTCATATTGGTTATCATTTTTTATGTATTGCAGTTTTCCCGAAGCTGCGCGTTTGTGTATTAGCTATATGTCTAATGTTGTTGCTTGCTCCAATCAGCATGCGTGCGCTATGCGTGCGTCAGTGTTTATTGTATCAGAGTTAATTGTGGAACTACGCAAGTTGCAGAAAATGAGCTGGTGTGGCCAAAGGTTCATTTTGGAACTACGCACGCTTCAGAAAATATGCTGGTAATCACAATGATACATCTATCATAGTGTAGTCATTTCGCACCACTACAGAATGTTACGAATATTGTTTGTGGTATTACACGCAAAAACAACGATGCATGCCACTAGAGAAGGACCATCACGGTCGTCATGGAAACCACTACTCATGGCTTGTGTGCCTTAACCTGTGTACCACCGAGGAAGCAAAGGAATTTACCAGCGACTGAAAACGTTACCCGTGTGGCTGCACTGGGAGTGCTCCGTTTCAATGGCCACTTGTTAGGCCAGTCAAAATGTATTTTGTTATTGTTGCCGCATTGGTTCAATTCACAAATAAGTTGCAGTATGCTGCAATCCTAACATACTCTGCAAGTGTACTTACTTGACTGTCCAATCCCAACATGACGATCATGAGAAAAAAAAGCACCGCCCAGAGAGGAGATATCGGAAGCTGCAGAACAGCTGAAGGGTACGCCAGGAACGCCAGCCCCGGACCTGCGCGAAAGTTAAGTTTTGAGGCAGAAAGAAGCACATGATGGACTCCACAATGTTTCACTTTAGTGTCATTCCACCTCGCCTTATAATGCTTCCCGATCTCCAGCCCTACACCCTTACAGCTGACTCCAAATAATGCAGGGCACTTTCTTTGTTTCGACGATATGTGCAACAAGGCAAACACGAAGCCCTGTATCGGCGGCACCCACTTAGTAGGGACTTTTAGTTTGTACGCACACTTTTCAACGTGACCGTGTAACCGGAACACCGAATCACGTTTACCGCGTTACGGTAGTGCAACGTTCGAATTTTAAGGTCCTCATACGTAAACATGAACGTACTAAATAAAAGTACATATGTAGGCTTGCACGAAATTCTGAATGGTGATGCAGGCTACAAACAAAATTTAATTCATTTAGATAACACTGAATGATCGCAGCGAAAAAAATGATAAGAGATGTTTTAAGACCTACAGTGACCAGGTATACGCAAAGGGTACCAAAATTTGGCCCCGTATCTGATTGTTTCACTGCAAACTGTTGTCGAAATACGATTTTCTTGCTCCAGGAGAAAGTGAGCAAAACGTTTATTCGATTTTCTGCGTAATAAAATCGCTAAATGGTATTCTGAAGGCGCTGAGCTTTAGCAGCCTCGATGCGTGCAGCGGAGGCGAACGAGCGCATCGAGGCACGTCGCACTTGAGACATGAGCGCTATCTGTCAGCTATCTTGAAAAACAAAGCCCACAGCGTATGCGCCTGTCTCGGAGGCCTTAAGGCGTAGAATGCAAGGCGACGGGTAGGTGCCACCACCATATTGTCTTAGCGAAGCTGTGGAAATACTTGCCTTGTCGTGCAAGCGTTGCGTTGTCAGGGCAGCGTGATAAACACTACAGTCCTCAGAATTACTAATGCATGCCTTAATAGTATAAAGAGGGACATACAGAATATTGACGTGTTGTTATTGGGCGTAAGATAAGCGCATCAATTGCTTTTTATACGGCAATCGCGCAAGTATCAACCCTGAAACTTGAGAAATATTGGTGGGTGCTGCGGATGGGGTTGGACATTGAGAGTATCGTTTGGAGCCGTTTGGGTTATCGTTACTGTGGGCAAATAGACAAATGTACAAATAGACAGAAAGACAGACGAAAATATTTACGTGGAAGGTTCCCAAAGAAAGACTAACGTCTTTAAAATATCGGGTTACTGGACAGCGGCGTCGACATATCGTTACACTTTGTGCAACCGAAGTCTAGACCCGTTTGTTATAGCGTGATGTTTACGAAGGAAACGCTGATAAGAAAAAGACAATATACCTTTTACGGCTTCAGTATTGTACGCCACTGTAGCTTCAGTAAGCTGCCTGAAACATGATCGCAATAGTACTCAGACTTCCGATTATTTTGGCCCGATATCTGGATAGTCTGCAAAGTGGATTTCGTGCGTATTCACGAAAGAAGGTTAATTTGTGAGATTAAGCCTGCGAACAAAAAACCTATCCAGCAAGTAGTTTAAGTTCCATAAAAGGCCCGCATATGTTCAGATTTCCTCCGGTATCCGGTAACATTGAATATTTGAACAGGCACTTTGACATCCAATAAAAATATCTTGAGGTATCGTAGCAGTGGTTCTGTGTGGTAGTGAATCATTTTATTGAAAGTTGCATTTCTGTCGAGAAAATTTAAAAAAGGCTGTGTGAATCCGTAACGTGCAATGTCACTATCTCAAGATTATTATAATAAATATCTCATCCTTGCAGAATACTCTGCAATAGTTGTGTCCATGTGCTTCGAGTTGACGATAAACTCGCCCTAACGCTGTCAATTGCTAGCTTCCTGGTTAGCTCAACTGGCACAGCGTCCCCCGGAAAGGCTTTCGTCTCGGGCTGAAACCCCGGATCAGGGTGACATTTTTTTCCTGAGGAAGTCGTACGGATTTCCTCGTGGTTGCGTGCTACGAACGGGTGATTTTCCTATTTCCTTTTCGTCACTCTTCATCCATCTTGCGGGCTTGCGCAGAACTCATTTGCGAGCAGCTATATGCCTTCAATTTGTTTATTATTATGCGATCACGGCTGTTGTGTAAAAGCAGGGCAGAAAGCAGCGCTACAATTCGGCACCTACCTCATTCTTATATGCATTTACTGAAAAAAATTGGCAGATCCCACGTACAGTGGGAACCGATGATATGCAAAGCACAAATGAGAAAGGTTAATATCTCACTTTAAAATCAGCACAATTTTACGAAGGTGGAGGTAAACGATGCCGTACATGACTTTCGTGTCATGACAATCGTGTTTGGATCGCAGTTTACTTTCGACAATCAATTCACGTCACGTGATGCCAAATTTAGTAAAAGTGGAGCTAGTGAAAAGACCATGAGCACACTATGAGCGTGGTATGTTGTAATGTTCTTACATGACACGCGTATCAGGATTATCATGTTTGCACCAGTCATTTAATTTTGTCATTCATTGACGGCACGTCACACCAAATTTGGTATATGTGGAGCAAGCAAAACGGTCGTGAGCGAGTCATGAAGGACCCAATATACATCCAATGTAGCGTTGACGCACGCGCATGATTGGGCACAGCGACGGTACGTTAGCAAAACGCAGCCTCTCTATAGTCTGACGCCAGGCGCGACCGGCACGGCCAGCGTCCGTTGGCACGGCTCGATGGCAACCAGCACGAAATGAGACATGCTGCTTTCACGCCGATGCTTTACTCAGACAACACTGTGTCCTTGTTTTCGTGATGAAGGGACGCCGGACGCGCTGAAACACGCGTGCGTCAAAGCAACGCAGCGCTGGCGCGCACCTGCGAGTACATGGCAGGACTGATGCCTGGCGTGGCAACACCGGCATGGCCCGACCAAATGAATGCCGGTGAGCACACGCACCACGTCACGTCAAAATGTATTGGCGCCTACACTGTGGCATGTAGTCCTGTCCTCACATGTCATGCATCTCATGATTATTATGTTTGCACCATTCACACAACTTCGTCATCCATAGACGTCACTTAATACCAAATTTGGCATATGTAAAGCTAGCGAAATGGCCGTGAGTGCATCAAGAATGCGACATGTAGTCGTGTTGTTACATGACACGCATGTTGTGATTATCATGTTTGTATGTGTCATTTACCTATGTAGTCCATTCACGTCGCGTAATACCGAGTTCGGTACATGTGAAGCTAAGTAAATGGCCGCGAGCGCATCATGAGCGTAGCATGTAGCTATGTTGTTACATGACACATATATTATAATTATAATGTTTGCACCAGTGACATACCTTCGTCCTCCATTCATGTACTGTTAAACCAAATTTGGTATATGTGACGCTAGCGACATGGCTGCGAGCGCATCATGGGAGTGGCACGTAGTCATGTTACATGACACGCGTGTCAATATTTTCTTGTTATTGCTTTTCGCTTGTGTTCACCATGCAATCATGTCATACCATACCAGTTTTGCAACATGCCATGTGAACGAAACCACCGCAAAAGCTGCAGGACCATGAATTGTAATTTATGAGATTCATGACATTCATGTCATGTTTTTTATGTTATTACTAGTCAGATATGTTCTTCATATAGTCATGTTATGTCATATCAAGTTTGGTATTGATGCCACTATCGAAACGGCCAGGAGAGCTAAAATTCTTAGGCGGCTAGATAGATAGATAGATAGATAGATAGATAGATAGATAGATAGATAGATAGATAGATAGATAGATAGATAGATATGAGCAAAGTCGCCGGGGTTCGCTAAGGAGCTTCGCATTTAAAAAGGCGTAATTATGTTGTGACCATTCTGCTTAGCCTGAATGATATAATATTTGTAGGACCAGAAGGACTTCCTAAAGGTTTTTTTTTTCAGACGAAACGCCGTACACCTATCATTACCTGAGCTTATTCGTTTCGTGAGTCTATTGCTACTGGTCTGGTTCTGGATGATTGCCTTAAAGCTAGGGTGTTTCGTATACCCAAACGAGGAGATTGTTCGTGGGTCTCAAACTACTAGCCATTTACTATTACCTGTTCCGGCTGTAAACTACAGAGACATAACAGTTCGACTGAGATATATCAGTTATGAGACATATCATTATGATTTGCGTAATGTAATATGCACACTCATCTTGTACTGTTGTGACTCTCGTCCGTGGGCGCCATGCTGGCCATCGAAAGCATAGACGGGCGGCGTTTCCACGTAGGGAAACCTCAGTGCTCTTCTCTGGGAACGAGCGTCGAAAGGCGGAAAGCAACAAAGGGAATAGAATGTGGCAACCTCGACTGTCCGCGTCTCAATATCTCTACATGGCTTGTTTAGCGAGATGGCGAGGCAGACCAACCGTGCAAGTCTTGTCTACGCGATTAAGAGTCACTAATCCTTTGCTGCCTTATACGGGAAAGGCATCAGTACCAACCCAGCCGCCAAGTTGTTCCGAGAAGGATCCCACTTCTCCTCTGTTCAGCGAAACTGACTGGAGGAGCATTGCGTTAGGAGGTGCGACTACTTTTTGCCGACCATGTGTTACTGACTGATGCCCTGGTGGGTGGACCATCTTGTGTGTGATTGGTTATAAAATCAAGCAGAAGGAGCCCGAAAAGGCTTCCAAACAACTCTGCAAAGTGCTTAACATTATTACAATGGTGTGAAGGTTCGCCCACCATGCTTGTGGTTTGCAGAACTTCTGAAACTCTTATGCTTATAATGATTTAGGAGCTAATGAAGAGGAGCTCTGCGAAGCATGAGACCTGATCGGTTAAAGAAATAAAGAGCAGGAAGAGAGGCGTGAGCGCGAAAAAGGAGAACGTTGCATTGAATGCGAGCGTGATACAAAAGACGGTAATCTGAGAGAGAGGAATGTCGGATAGAACGTGAAAGCGAAGGATAAAGACTGGCACACGGAATCAAGGTGCATAAACTAGAACTTTAGTTGCGTAAGAGGTCGGGAAGTAGTCCCCAGAATGTGGTACCTTGTGCCAACGCCAAG